AATAAAGCTTGAAGAATTAACTATTCATTCACATGCAAGTCACGATGTCTAACTAAACAGTTACCGACTCTAAAGGTACGTACGGACGTACGGTTATGTTGATTTCTTAGATTCTGAATTAACCTTTAGCGAGGAGTATGGATCATGTCGGTATGGTACTTGATTCAAGCAACTTTGATCATAAGTATGTAATACCGAGTATATATGAGTATAGAAAAAGGTTGTATCTTTTAATTTTGAGATTAGGTATTCAATTTCAACCCGCATGAAAATCCCTTATCATTCTCTTATGGTCAATATGTCTAGCTCGTTAACCCATACAGATTAAGTTGTTTGTGTGGAGTTTTAATCCGATAGAATAGTTCTCACGCAATCGGATATATAATTAGTGCTTTGGTATTCTATCATGTGGCTAAAAACAACTACACTTTACTTCTTTTAAAGCAATAATTACTAGGAGTACAGTTACTCCAATAAACCACACAAATAACAACCAACATACACTTTAATTCTTCTTTTTATTGACTTCCTAATTTGTCATAACACTTTTTGTCAATCAAACCTACAAGAAGTTACTGATAATCACTCGTTACAAAATCTATCCAAAGAAGGAAACAAGGACGAATTGAAGACGATTCTTCGAGTAGCATAATGGTTAGTTGGAGCTAGCTCATCACATATATAGTAGTATGAATGATTGATTTTAATTTGATGATATTTCTTGTCCCACCTTAATGATGGAAATAATTATCAAGTTTTTTTTGTTTTTTGTTTGATAAATAAGTGTTATGTGTAAATAATATCAATATTTAAAGACTAAAATGGCCTTGCTACTGTATTACTACCACTAATAATCTACTATCATATGATTTATTAGTTTTTACAAAGAAGATTGCCTTTTTGTTTTGTTTATTTCATTTTCACTTATTTTATGAAAAATAAGCTCAAGAAAAGAATAAGTGTATATAATTAATCACATTCACAAAAATAATTAGTTCAATTCAAGAAATATAAGGGGTATAGCGGATCCAGGATTTCCGACATGGTGAGTCACCATCAATTAATTATTGATCACTTGTAGAAGTATAATTTTTTTTTCCAAATCTTGTTCTTAATTAATTTCAATCCAAAAATTGTATAAAATAAATAAAATAAAATTATATTTCACCAAATTGATTTCAATCTAAAATAGGGCACAAAAATCCATATTACAACCAAATAATACTCTGTAGTACTTAAGAATTCAATCTTACTAGTTGAAAGTATTACAAATAACATGTTACAAACAAATAGTACTATAAAACTATTACATTAACTTATGATTTTTTACTTAATTGATAAGATCTGTGGGAAAATATTAAAATTGGTTGCACAAATATAGGATATAAATAGAAGCGAAAATTATTAATAATTATTAATTTATAAAAAAAAAATGAGATAACTTAAGAGACCGGTTATTAAGTATAACTGGTCTCTTTAATGAAAAAAGAAAGCAGCGCTGAAATTGTGAAATGCAATAGTAGCATTAAAGAGACTTGTTACCTAAATATGTGGTCTCTTTGATTTTTTTTTTTAAAAAAGAAAACCACTGACACAGCGCAAAGCACTTGTAACAATAGCAGCATCAAAGACACTGACTCTCTACAATAAGCGGTCTCTTTGATATTTTGTTTTTTTTTTTTTAAAAATCAATTTTTTTTCATGTTACCGCTGAGTCACGTGACTCAGTATGCACCTAAATAGATCTGCCAATGATCTAATTTCAATTCACAATTAATATAAAATTTAAATTATGCAAATAAGTTTGACATATGGTACATATTTTATTTTTTTAGCATTTTATAACTCCGTAGTTAAGTAAATTTTTTTTTTTTTTTTTTGAAAAATTTCGGTTTAATAATTCCAACTTTGTCCAGTTTATTTTAAATAATCCCAACTTTCGATTATTCTATAATAATCTCAAACTTCACTTGCATTTTCTTTCTTCAATCTCAATTAGGGGTAACCTGAAGAAAAGGTTAAAAAAATTTAAAAATAAATTCTCTTCCACGTGTTGCATTTTAATAGGATGATTTTTTATTTGAACCAAAGTTAAATTAAATAATTTTTTGGTTAATTTTTAAATTACCACCCAAAAATGTAACCATTTTCGAACTAACTACCCGTTTAATTTTTTATTTTAAATTACCACCACTTAAATTAAATAAATGCTCAGATTACCACCCATTTTAAAAATCCGGTGGATTTTCCGTCTGTAGGTCTCACCTAACACTTATTTTGACTGATTTTCCCCCTATTTTTCTCTAATAAGCGCTTTCTAAACTTTAATTCACATTTTCTTCACCAAATTCTACCAAATTTCAAAGAGAAAAATGTGAATTGAAGTTAGGAGAGCGCTTTTAAAAAGAAAAATCACGGGAAAAATCAGTCAAAAGGGTCAAAATAAGCGTTAGGTGGGGCCCACAGATAGAAAATCCACCGGATTTTTAAATTGGGTGGTAATCTAAGCATTTATTTAATTTAAGGGGTGGTAATTTAAAATAAAAAATTAAACGGGTGTTTAGTTTGAAAATGGTTACATTTTTTGGTGGTAATTTAAAAATTTTCCCAACAGAAATTAAATTAAATTAAAAAGAGAGAAAGAGAAAACCACGACCAGCCACCACGTTAGAACAACCCCGAAACCTCTTGTAACTTTATGTTAAATGTCGAAATAATATGAAATGGGTTTGGGCAACCCGAACAAGGAGAAGGAAAGTTTGGTCCACTAACAAGGTTTCGGAGCTTCCATACTAAAACCAATTGGCAATAGTAGGACTTACTCCTCTACCTTATAAAGTGGAACAAGCTCTCCTCTTTATTCAATGTGGGCTACAATGGGTTTCAACACTTTCACACTTGCTGACGCACTACTTTGATTGTCAATAAATTTAACTTGCAATTAATAAAATTAAAAAAAAAATTGATATTTAAAAAGTACAAATTGAGAAGTATATCATTCATTATACGGAGTATATACTTATGTAAATCATAGTTAATGTCAAGGGAGAACATGTAAATAGTGTCAAAGTAGTCAACAAAGTACAATAGTATTAATCGAATGAAACAATTCAAATAAAACAAACATATATATATATAAATCGGAAAATTAATAATGTATATTTTAAAATAAAAATCCCGATAATTACCCGGGCCCGACGAAGGGGCCTAATGATATTCATAGAAGGTGATAATTAACAAAAGCTGTAAACGTAGTGGTGTACGGGCAGCTAGCTTTAATCAAACGCGTCGTACAAGGTCTCGGAGAAAAATGCTGGTAATGCACGACACTTTAGCAAGCCGCGCGCTATATCTCGGCCCTACTCACCAAAACTTCATCGAAGCTGCTTTTGCTAGTTGCTACCACTTCAATTCCCCACCAACTTGCACACTATTACTTTTTTAAGTACTTTTTCTCATCATCCTTACTAGACTAACTACCGTACCACCTTTTTTTTTTTAATGCTTATCCAAATCATCACTACAACCAACTCCAAATAGTACGAATCAGTACATTTTGTATCGCACCACTTTCATATAAATAATTTTATCAACAAGGAGTGTTTCTAATTTCTATTAAAAACTCGACATGATTATAGCATTAAGCCTCAAGGTAGAGTTAGAGTAGCCCAGGCCATCATCTACCCTTATCTTATCATACGCAGGCATTATTTAAACCATATGCGCAAAATATATATTTTTATTGGATCCTCTTCTAAATATCTAATAATCAGCTCAATTACCTCTTTGATCATTAGGCATTATTTAAATCATATACGCAAAACATATATTTTTATTGAATCCTCTTCTAAATATCTCATAATCAGCTTAATTACCTCTTCGATCATTAGACATTATTTAAATCATATACGCAAAACATGTATTTTTAAAATAACAGTGTGTCTTGTGTGTGGCTAGCCACACACACAATGTGGCCACTTATTAAAAAACAAAGTAGCCCCTGTAACACTGCCCCGGTAACCCCTTGTAATACTGACGAAGTAAACCTCGTATAACTGAACGAGTAACCCCTATAACACTGATAAAGTAAACCTCATAATGAATGGCCACATCGTGTGGCTGGCTACATATAAGACTTTGTGTTAAAATTATTGCTTTCTAGCTAATGTTCAAGTTTAACTATGTTTGAAGTATTTAATATCACCTTAGTCTTTTAATGCTCTTTCCATTTTCCTTTTTTGATGCCCGTAATAAATTTTATAGGCAATAATGTATACTTGTTATTCCCTTTTGTTTCAGAATGATATTTCTTTTTAAGTAAATCAATGCAAGTTTTCGCAAACTTTTGACCGCAAATATCTTTAATCTTACACTAGCAAAAAATTATAAAAATAAGATACTTGGTATTAATAATGTTTGTACACATCAAAATGAATCAAACTAGATCTCATATGAGTATATTTGCTCTTATATATTGAAAGAAATTTAAAATATTCTCTCTAATTTTTAAAAGTCAAGATTCTAAATAGAAACATGATTATTTCTAAATTTAAAAAATCAATTCAATTGAGTTGAAATAATTTCCTAGCTACATGTTATATATAGTCCATAATGTTTATTAATATGTTCAGCTTGATTTTAGGTTAGGCATGAATCTACTTGGATTAATTCCAATTTAGGTTGATTTCTGGTATATACAAATATATTTCAGGTCAAGCTGCAATTCTGATCAATTAAATTGCTTCTACTTGATTTGGGACCATCAATTTCAGGTCAAGTCAGATCTATTTTACATTTTTACAATATTTAATTAGGGTTTTCACCCGAGTGTAAAAATATAAACAAAAACAAGCTAATGCATGAGTAAATTTGATACAGTAAATATATCAGTATTCACACAAATCAACGCAAATCACAACGCAGTCATAGACATACATAGTGCATGCAACCTGACATCCCATCTCTTCCAAAAATTGTCAACGTACCAACTTGCATACATCTTCTCTCTCCTCCACGCTGGCACTCTCTCCCCTCCACTTTCTATTTATACCCCCTTCTTTCTCCTCTCTTCAAACCGTCTACTTTTCTTTTCAAATTTTCCATTTCCACAATAATGAAGCTTAAAACTCGCTTCTGTTTCTGTACCTCCACCGTCGCCGGCGACGACTCCAACAACTTTCCGGCGACAACATCTTCCTCCTCCTCTACCTCACCCGCAAGTAACACTAGTCTACAAAGTCACCTCTCCCTTCAAACCCTGCCATCTGTCCCTTCCCTTCAATACTTCTCTCTCCTCGACGTCTCCGCTACCGTCACCCTCACCCACTCTCTCTCCTCTACTCTCTCACTACCTTCCTCCATCTCATCACTTTCTCTCTCCTCCGCATCATCTCTCCTCTACGTCTCCTCCGGCCACCAGATCAACGTCTACGACTCCTCCACCCTCTCCCTCATTGAAACCTTCAACTCCGACGGAACCTCCTCCGGCGCCGTTAAGTCCGTCACATTCTCCGACGGAAAAATCTTCTCCGCTCACCAGGATGGCAAAATCCGGGTTTGGAAGTTAACCGCGAGTAAGAAGCATAAGATGGTTTCTACTTTACCCACTTTAACTGACCGGTTACGCCGGTACCCGGTTCCGAAGAATCACGTGAAAGTCAGGCGACATAAGACGCGGTTGTGGGTTGAGCACAACGACGCCGTTTCGAGCTTGGCCGTTACCAACGGAAAAATATACTCCGTTTCTTGGGATAAAACGTTGAAAGTGTGGGGTCCAAAGAGTTTACGGTGTTACGAGTCTGTAACGGCGCATGAGGATGCGATTAACGCCGTTATTGTTGCAAATGACGGAACGGTTTATACCGGGTCGGCTGATGGTCGGATTCGGGTTTGGGCTAAAAAATCCGGGTCGGAGAAGAAGCATTCAGGGATTGCCACGTTGGAGAAACATAAATCAGCTGTAAATGCATTAGCGTTGAATTCTGACGGTTCGATTTTATTCTCGGGTGCTTGTGACCGTTCGATATTGGTTTGGGAGAGAGAAGATAGTGCTAAGTATATGGTGGTTAGTGGGGCCCTTAGAGGTCATAATGGGGCGATCTTGTGTTTGATCAACGTCTCAGATTTTCTGATCAGTGGTTCGGCTGATCGGACGGTCAGGATTTGGAGACGTGGGTTTGAAGGAAAATTCTGTTGTTTAAGCGTTTTGACTGGGCATAGTAAGCCTGTTAAGTCATTAGCTGCAAAAATGGAGGGTGAAGATGGAATTTCGGTGTTTAGTGGTGGGCTTAATGGGGAAATTAAAGTTTGGAGTCTTAAGATTAATTATTCCGGCAGTAAGGACTCCTGACAGTAATATCAAATCTCGTATACATTATTGTCTTATACGATACTGTATTTGTAGGAGGGAAAAAAATTATTGGTAAATAGTTTTTAGATATGGAGAATGATGTGATTGGTTCAATATTATTTTTTTATTTTTTTGGTGGGGGAGCGGGTGTTTTAGACATGGCTATGAAAGTTTGATGCTAGTACAAGTAAATTTACTAGTAATTTGTTTGAATTTTGAGTATGTTTATTTTCCCTTTTTTTAGTAGGGATGATGGATATATTTTTGTATTTATTGGCTACTTTCAATTGTTAATGGAATGATAGCTATGTTAATTCATGAATTGATTTTTTTTAATGTCGTTTTGTGCTTGGTTGGAAGTGGTTCATGCATAATAAAAGAATAACAATAACAATGGAAGCCATATATAATTTTCTTGATGAGGGGACACTCTTGGAAGATTATATGTGTAGGGATGTAAACCAATTGACACACAAATTATTAATGTATTATCCTTTAATAAAAATTTAAATTTCGTTCAACTAAATTAAAGGCTATTAGCTCACTTGATAACATTCGAACTCTAAATCTTTAGGATTCAAGGTACAACTCTTTTTTGAACCAGAAGAAAAGTATATGTCTTGCTTTTAAAAAAGTCTTATCTCTTTAGATTCTAAAGATTAAGGATTACCAAGTGAGGTAAGACTCATTCGGTCATTCATAGTTACCAAATGATAATACTTGGAAACGAAGATCCCTTTACCTCCATCACATAATTTCAAGTATTTGAATTGTAAATATTGAGTCAAAAAACTACTAAAAAACATATGGAAAGAAGATAATAAAACTTTAAATCTCAAACTCAGGTAGACACTCGTATTATTAAATAACTTGATCATATGTATCATGATCGAGCTTATCGAGTTTGCTCACAACTTACATAAATTAAACTTGGAGTTAAGCTTGAATCGATGGAGTAGTAGCTAGTCCGGTACTTCGGCAGAATTGATTATTGAGTTACGTTGAATTCCAACTGTCCAAAGTAGAAAGTAATAACCGACCAAATTAAACTATTTGACTCAACTTGCATTGGTCTAATAATTGCTAAGCTAAGGTTTCGAAGTGATCATCTGCTCGAATTTAAAGTGAGTTCTTTGTGCAAATTCATTATATTATCACCTATAATAAACAAAGCAATCTTTGAATATATTACATGATGCACATAAATAAAAGATGTAGGCAATAAAATGAATTGAGTAAATTTGCTGAAATCAAGAAACTATAACAGTTATTATACAAGTACATAGTAAATTAATACGGAGTAATAACAAGGGCACGCTATTGTTTTAGTTCTTTGCTATCACTATATCATTCTCATTCACCTTGAAAATTACGGAGTAATATGCTACATAGTACATACTTCTATTTTATATTAGATGTAACTTTGGGTATTATTTACGAAATATTAAAAAAATTCAAAGTTGTATCTAATATGAAACAAGGGGTATTAATAAAAAAAATTCAAAGTTATATCTAATATGAAACAGAATATTATTAGTAAAAGTTCTCTATTCGACAAAACTCGATCATAAAACGAACAATGAGATGGCTTTGAAACAAGGATTAAGCATTATTGAATTGCATTAATAGAATATGTAGTCTCTTGTACGTGTACAACATGCATGACTTTAGTCTCCTTAACATACCGCATAAAAATAAATGTTCGTTGTGTGCGCTTTAAGACGAAACCATGAGTTCTTTATTACATCAAAGTAAAAGTAAGTTCTTTAGATCTAACCGTGAAAAAAAAAAATTACACTCACTGATAAATTTGTTTATATTCGAAACTAATTTCATTCTCTGCAATATAGTGAATATGGACTTCTCAAACGCGGGTCTGGGCCTCACCCGCAAACTAAGAGAGAGAGTCCACTTCACAAGTCCAAGGAGGTTCTATCCTAAAATCATATGGCAATAGGAGGAGTAGCCCCTTAGCCTTATAAAGTGTTTAACTCTCTCTTCTTCAACCAATGTGGGACACTTACATGTGGTGACACTTGAGAGGTTTATTCTTCAACACTCCCTCTCACATGTAAGGTCCCTTTTTAACTTTGTCTCATGTGATTTTTCCTTGGTCTTGTAAAGTGGTGGACTTGCACTCTCCCGTGACGGGTGCGGCCCAGACCCGTATTTAACATGGTGTCAGAGCCAGACCCACGATCGGAGCCTTAATGACTAAGGTATACTGGGTCAAACACTATGGACAGCTCACATGTGAGGGGGAGTGTTGAGCCCATGAACAACCCACATGTGAGCATTCTCTTGTCCCACACTAAAATACTAAACACTAAAAGGGAAGTGTAGTGGTAATGAAATCCCACATTGAAAGAATTCAAGAGTTACCACCACTATATAAGGCTAAGGGGCTACTCCTCTTATTGCCATATGTTTTTGAGGTGGAACCTCCTTGGTCTTGTAAAGTGGTGGACTTGCACTCTCCCGTGAAGGATGCGGCTCAAACCCGTATTTAACAGGACTTAATTAATAACAATACTTTTTGTGAAACCCTTTTTACTTAATAGTTTGATCCGATTCTTATTGATCAATTCCTTTCACTTTGGACTTCCAAATTGTTGAGTCCCTTAGGTTTTGATTGATAGTTTTGAATGATGACAAACAGCTAAGGGAAACAGGTCCTTGAAAGTGTTCGATACAGTTAGGGGAACCAGCTAACATAGAACACTGTTTTCCCAGACAAGTTATTACTTACATGAGTTTTCTTATTGAACTAACTTGTCTTTATACAGGGAACAGTTATATGATAAAAGTGTTATGTACTGGTAGGGAACCAGTATGTACTGTTTCCATGGTTGCTACGTGGTACAGCAGTCACTTACTTTATATTGTGCATTAACCTTATTGATTGTGCAGAATATAAGTTGATTCCAAGACTTGGAGCATAGAAGCCTTTCGAAGATATTTCGAAGAAAGATTGTTTGCTCATAATAGAAGTATTCAAGGAAGATTCAAGTCTTGAAGATTACATGAAGAAAAGACGATTTATGCTTTAATATGTTATCTAGGTTTTCATGTAATATGCTCCGTAGTATGCTTGCATGTTTGGGTTATATAAGTGCTTAAAAGTATATTGAAGTATGATATGAAATCTGGTACAAAGTTGGAACAGGTTTCATAACATGTTTCAATTCAGGGAACCAGGTCGGGGAACCAGGTTCACTGTACGAGATATTCGAGCTGCCGTTTTGGAAAAAGATTTTACAAAAAGATTTTTTCGAAAAGATTATCTTGAAAATATTTTGTGCAGCTGGAAATAAGATGAAATATTCTTGGTTACCTAAAAACTAGGAGTATTTATCTTAATTGATTCTATCTTTGTGATTAAGTCAAATAAGATAAATACTTTCCTAAAATTACAATATATCTTATTTTCTAAGATTGTGTGATTTAAGGAAACTAGGTTTTAGGAATCTAAGCTTATATAAACTCATCTTATTTCACATATTTCGTGTGCCTCTCTAGAAATTAAAAGAGCAATTATTTGAGAGCATATACTTAAGCACTAATCCCATTCATCAAGTCATATACAAGAGCATTCTAGTACTTAAACTTTTTCTCTTAATTAGCTTCGTAGAAGTGAGATCAAAGGGGAGTTCTTGATTCTTGTATTGAGTCTTTAACAAAGGGGTTAAAGGCTGGGTGAGTGTTTGTGAGTTCAAACACATTGGGCTTACGAGTGTAAGTCGAGAGCACACTCGGAGTAAGAGTGTGGGGTTTGCTGGTTCCCGGAGTAGGGAACAGCAGAGTGTTCTTTGTCTTTGTTTTTCGGAGTAGATTAATAAAGAACTTAGGATAGGAGGACGTAGGCCTGAGTTGGCTGAACCTCGTTAAATTTGTTGTGTTCTTTATTGCTTTGTTTTATTTCGTTAAATTTGTTGTCTTCTTTATTTCTTATTTATATTCCGCTGCGTACGGGAACCAGCACAACTGGTTCCTCACACATAATCCGAAAAGAAGCAAAATTAGCCAACGATTACTTAACACTCAATTCACCCCCCCCTCTTGAGTGCCCATTGAACCTTCAATTGGTATCAGAGCCTAAGCTTCTCGAAAGAGTAACATCTAGAGGAGTTAAGAATGAGTACTCAAGAATTAAGTGCAATCGGTTATGACAACAAGTCACCCAAGTTTAATGGAAATAATTATGCTTGGTGGAAGAACAGGATCCAGAATGTTATCATGGGTATTGATTATGAATGCTGGCTCGTAGTTAAAAATGGTCCTAATATCATTCTCAAGACAGATGTTGAGGGGAACCAGGTTCCCAAGAAAGATAGCGAATTGGTCACTGCTGATTACAAGTTGCTGGAGAAGAATGCTAAGGCAATGTCAATACTACAACAAGCAATAGGTGAGACCGAAACAAATCGTATATCTGGCTGCAGTAGTGCTAAGGAGATATGGGATACCCTTGAACTTGCGTTTGAGGGAACCAGTGAGGTAAAACGGTCTAAAATTGATTTAATCATGTCTAAATATGAATTGTTTGCCATGAATAAAAATGAAAAAATCAATGATTGCTTTCGTAGGTTTATGACTATTGTAAATGATCTTAGATCTCTTGGTAAAAATTTATCTGACGAGGATCTTGTGAGAAAATTATTGCGTAGTTTAACAGATGCATGGACAGCCAAGGTAACAGCAGTATATGAAGCAAAGGATCTGTCTACCTTGTCTCTGGAACAGCTGATTGGTTCCCTTATGACTCATGAGATGCTGATTGACTCTAAGTCTGAGAAGGAACCAGCAAGAGGCATGGCGCTTAAGGGAACAGTAGAAGATGATGAAGATGAAATTAGCATGATTGCAAAAAGATTTGAGAGATCCCTTCGAGATCAAAGAAAGAATTTCAAAGGTAAGCATTTTAAAAACTATAAAAAATCTAACTCTAATTCTTCTTCTACAGGATGTTTCAAGTGTGGAGAAAAAGGACATCTTATTCGAGATTGTCCTAAGTGGAATGACAAACAGTCTAAATCCGGAGATAAACAAGCATACAAGAATGCCATGATAGCTTCCATGTGGGGAGACTCTGACTCAGGGTCAGATGAAGAAGAAGGATCATCCAACTCAGATGTTTGCCTAACTGCCTTTACAAACATCAAGGAAAACAGCACTGGTCCAGGAACCAGAGGGGGAACCAGTACATTCAACAAATGCTTTATGGCAAAGAAGGATGTACTACATGAACGCAAGGTAAGCTTAGAGCAAATTAGAGAAGATATGCATGAATATGATAGAGAAAATATGCTTGCTTGTATTGAT